AGAAACAGTTACGGTCCTGCTGATGGGTTAAGGCCCTATTCAGCTTTCAGAATAACTGCCTGTCCCCTGGAATCTCCTCCATGCTCTTAGACTTAGACTCAGCAAATATTCTGGCAATGGCACATATTGATGTACCATCCTGGAGAAGGTGGATTGCCTGTGCAACCTCTGTAGGGTCCAGGTATCGGCTGATGATATCAGTAGTCACACCGACCCTAAAATGCAAAACTAGTGAACAAACAGTCAGAAAAAACGAAGAGGGAAAAATGTCAGTGGTCTGTTTAGGACACTGTCTCATTGTTGCTCCTCTAGTGCACCTGTTGTTAATTTCATTAACACTAAAACAGATGAAACTGATTAACACCTCTGATCAACATGCCAGAGGTTTTAATGATATCAGCTGCTTATTTGACTCAGAAAATATACAGGGCAAAGCCACACCCGGCCTCAGGCCACAGTGTTTGTTGCCCTCATGTGATTTTTATGTATATAGCAAGGGAGGAACTCAAATCTTGGCTCCCTTATGAACAAATAGACTTCGAACTTTATTAGAAAAGAAGTGAAAAACATATGAATACATGTGAATTCTTACTTATAGACTTGATTTAGCCTATTTGAATATTTGACAAGATCCAAAAACTTACAGTGAGGATCCTGTGCCTGTTATCATAAAAGGAAGCTACAGTAGTCATTGTTATGCCAATATCAATGTTTATCTATCAATATATTATTGATTTTTTAAAACTAATTTCTATTTTCGCCATTTCTATGTTTCTCTTTTGGAAAAAAGGAAGGGCAAGCTGCTTATTGAGCTCAGGCAAAGGTAATCACATGCTTGCAGTAATCATTCAGATGACAGGAAATCCGCTGAGGTGTTACATAACTTCACCTGTCTACGCCTATGTGCTCAGAGCAATTAAAAGGTATGTACACAGATCGTCGTGCACGAGTTTTCTGTTATCAAGTTTTAAAATATGTGGAAACCCGGGCATTTCGTCACTTGCTGGTGATATCAGATATGAAACTGTTACAGGACTGTGACCCTGTTCCTATACACGTATACACATTTCCGACCTGACTGTATAGCTATGTGAGGTGGAGCCCTTTAAAAGAGAAAGAACAGTGGCATTTACAGTTGCCTTCCCTGAATGAACATCTCTCTCCTCTCAGAGTGCACTGGTAAGTTAAAATGCTTGTGTGTGTGTGTGTGAGAGTGCTTTGTTGTAGCCTGATTTCAGTGTGATAGCACGCAATGATAACTGTGTAGACTGAATATTATCAAACAGATCTGTAAATGACATCTGAAAATTTTATAAATCAGCTACCTGAACATCAACTTTTTTTTTTTAAATTGCAGTGCTGTTTTATTCAAAATGTTTCTTTTGCCAGCTTTTGAAAATTCCTAATTGAACAACATAGATTTGGCTTATTTGTTGTGTGAAATGTAAGAACAATCCAGTCTCTTATATAAGAGTTCTAATGCTCTGATTTGCCCTGATAGAGATAATCAATAATTGTTCTATTACATAAATAAGTGCTTATCAGGACTTTTTTATGTGTTCATGACATGGATCAAAGGTCAGTATCATGCAGCACCTGACTAAAGTCACGCTGCATTTCATATCAATGACAAAAACAAGCAGCAGTTTGTACAAGACAAAATGTTACACACACACACACACACACATATATTATATATATTTCTTTCTTTGCTTGCCTTCTTTGCAGATTGACCAAAATGGCCCCTGAAACACTGGAAAGGGTCCACAGCAGCATTTCTCCAGACCCTTCAAAGCAAAATTGAACTTCAGGCAAAAGCACATCTGCCTGCAACACAGACGGATACTTCAAGTTTCAAGTGACAACACAATGCCTCAGCCAGACATTCGGTACACCAAAGTGCGATGGCTATTAACCATCGCTGGAGTCTTCCTGTATGTCGGGGACATTTGGACAGACATTGTACTGGCTGTGAAATATTTTCAAGAGGAACAATACGTCTGGACTGGGTTCACCGTAATGTTTATTCTGATCGGGCTACTGGTTACTCAGATCTTCAGCTATGCATGGTACTGGGATGACTTGAATGACCCTCTCTTAAACCCTGAAGGAAAAAAAGAAATATCAGACATGTCAAAACCTGGGCTTGTTGTCCTGCATGCATTTGGCTTGGGCATCTTTACCAGGTATGCCATTAAAATTACAGCTTTCATGAGACCACAGTAGCCGAAGTAGGATATGACTTTTGAGTTTAACACCTGCAAATTAACTTGAGGTTGCTTGTTGTACCTACAAAAAGGAGTGCCTGCATGTTGTGAGTCAAAACGTGCTTTATGATAATCACGCACATTGACAAAGTGGTATTTAATAAACTGGAATGCCCACATTCAAGCTGTGTTCAACTTGTTGTATGGCATTAAGATAAAGCCTTACAAATGAATCACCGTCTATGCAGCAATAGCACGCTATGCAATAACACGTGCACTGCAGGGTGGCAGCTTGTTTGTTTTCATTGTGTTTGCCTTGTCTCTAGGTATTACCACCTGCTGAAAGAGGGTTTCCACGTGGTTTGGACGAAATCAAATGGCGATGGGGTGGAAAAGCTGAGGGAAGTTCACAAGAAGCTGTTTTGCGTGGCCACCGATCTGAGCATGCTCAAGCTCTTTGAGACTTTCCTGGAGAGTGCCCCCCAGCTCCTTTTGCAGCTTTACATATTACTGGGCCACAACAAAGTCTCAGTCATACAGTGTAAGTAGAGACAAAAGACACTCTACACATGTGTGCGAACCTGAAGAATCATTACTTACACTGCCTATTCTTGTCTTTCAGGTCTATCCGTGGCCTTCTCCTTCTGTAACATTGCATGGTCACTGGTGGACTATCGCCGCTGCCTGCGG